TGGACTGTTTTGGGCCGGGGGGGGGGGGCTCTGCAACTTACCTGGCTGCTTCTTGCTCTGACTGAGGGCTGCTGGGGTCAGGGGGTGGGGCTTGTTGCATGTGCCCGCCCCCTGGGCTCTTTACTGCCGGAGCTCTGCTCCTGTGCACTCCTGCAGGAAATGACCCCTGGCTAAGAGCAATGGACTCTAATCTGGAGAACCAGGTTTGATTCCCCACTCCTCCCGCCCCGTGAAGCCTGCTGAGTGACCTTGGGCCAGTCATCGGTCTCTCAGAACTCTCAGCCCCATCCACCCCACAAGGTGCCTGTTAAGGGGAAGGGGAAGGAGATTGTAAGCTGCTTTGAGACTCCTTAAGGTAGAGAAAAGCTGGGTATAAAAGCCAACTCTTCTTCAGATACATCGAAATGGAAGTTACAAGTCCATACATATGCCATATATATATACATACATTTGCTGCTCACCCTTTACCTGTATGTATGGACTGGTAACTTCCATTTCAGTGTATCTGAAGACGTGTGTGTGCACACGACAGCTTATTTGTTGTTGTTCAGTCGCACAGTCGAATCCGACTCTTCGCAACCCCATGGACCGGATCACGCCAGGCCTTCCGGTCTTCCGCCGTCCTCTGAAGTTTGCTCAACTTCATGTTCGTTGCACCTATGACACTGTCTAACCATCTCATCCTTTTCTGTCCCCGTCTTCTTTGACCTTCAGTCTTTCCCAGCACCAGGGTCTTCTCCAGTGAGGGCTCCCTTCTCATTGCGTGTCCAAAGTATTTGAGCTTCAGTTTCATTATCTGGCCTTCCAGGGAACAGACAGGGTTGATTTCTTCTAGGATTGACTGATCTGATCTTCTTGTAGTCCAAGGGACTCTCAAGAGTCTTCTCCAGCACCATAGTTCCAGAATAAAACTTTGTCTTAAAGGTGCCACTGGACTCAGACTTTGTTATGATACATACATACAGGCTATGCATATAAATGGGAGGTGGGACCAAACGTGCTGGCCCAGTTTGTAACTCAGCATCCTGGCTCTACTCATCGGAATGTGGGCACAGGGCCTACTTGTGTACTTGGAAAGGGCACACTTGGGATGGGCCATGACTCAGTGGCAGAGTATTTCCTTGGCACTCAGAAAGTCCCAGGTTCATTGCCCAGTCTCTCCTGATTAAAAAGGACCAGGCAGTAGGTGATGTCTCCGCCTGAGACCCAGGAGAGCGGCTGCCAGTCTGAGTAGACAATACTGACTTTGATGGACCAAAGGTCTGATTCAGTAGAAGGCAGCTTCATGTGATCAGTTTGGTGTCGTGGTTAAGTGTGCAGGCTCTAATCTGGCAGAACTGGGTTTGATTCCCCACTCCACATACAGCTGCTGGGTGACCTTGAGCAAGCCACAGCTCTCTGAGAGCTGTTCTCTCAAGAGCAGTTCTCAAAAGAGCTCTCACAGGGCATCTGTTGTGGGGAGAGGAAGACTCCAAGTGAATGGCAGGCTATAAATCCAATCTCTTCTTCTTCGTCTTATAGGGGTTCCCACCCCCTTCTATGAACATTGGCCCACGATTGATATGGGGCCCCAGTGGTACTTGGGAGGTCGTTTTGCCCAGCCTCCCCTCCAATCTGCGAACCAGCTCTGCTCCAGGATGGACCCCATTTAGTAAAGAGGGCTGAATTCTGCATGGTATATATTCTGATGCCATCCATAGTAAGCCAGGCCAGACTGTCTCAGTATAAACTGAGCCCAGCATTCAAAGAGGTTGTAATGAGGATAAACCAAACCAATTCACCATCTCAAACTTGGACATCAAGGGTTAACTTTTCCCCCTCCTAGCAAATGGAACTAATTTCCTTTTCTGCAACCATGGTCATTTCCTGCTGGACAGAACCCCTGTGAGTTCTGAAACGGGTAAGCAAACATTCTACAACTGGAATAAACATTACAGTTCATTACTGATGATCTGACAGTCTTTATAATAAATACTGTGGATAGGGATCAGTTAAGTGGATATCCTTCATTAATTCTACTTGCCAAAATGGTAGGGTGTTGGTGGAATTAACTGGATACCGTGTGACAGTATGTGGGGAAAATTACCCAGTTGTTCCTGCAGGCTCTGTATCTCTGCTTCTAAGCGTTGTATCCGAGTATCAGTCTGGCGCTGTTTGGTTACCAAACTCAAACTTGGACAGCGAGGGTTAACTTTTCCCCCCTCCTAGCAAATCAAACTAATTTCCTTTTCTGCAACCAAGGTCATTTCCTGCTTGACAGAACCCCTGTGAGTTCTGAAACGGGTAAGCAAACATTCTACAACTGGAATAAACATTACAGTTCATTACTGATGATCTGACAGTCTTTATAATAAATACTGTGGATAGGGATCAGTTAAGTGGATACCCTTCGTTAATTCTACTTGCCAAAATGGTAGGGAGATTGTTGGTGGAAATAACTGGAAACCGTGTGACAGTATGTGGGGAAAATTACCCAGTTGTTCCTGCAGGCTCTGTGTCTCTGCTTCTAAGCGTTGTATCCGAGTATCAGTCTGGCGCTGAAGTTGCTGAAATTGCCGGATCATCTCTGGAATACATAAAGTGGGGGAGATGGAATAAACAAGGCCAGGGACAGGGGGAAGCCATGACACTCTCTCCCGATTCCTGCCTTGGACTAAAAGTCCCAAACCAGTTTGGTGTAGTGGTTAAGTGCGCGGACTCTAATCTGGGAGAACCGGGTTTGATTCCCCACTCCTCCACTTGCACCTGCTGGATGACCTTGGGCAAGCCATAGTTCTGTCAGGGCTGTCCTTGAAAAAGAGCAGTTTCTGTCAGAGCTCTCTCAGCCCCACCTACCTCACAGGGTGTCTGTTGTGGGGAGGGGAAGGGAAAGGAGTTTGTAAGCTGCTCTGAGACTCCTTTGGGTAGTGAAGGGCGAGTCATAAATCCAATCTCTTCTTCTAAGAGGGGTTTGTCTTGTGCATCATCAGCATACCTGGTGAAGCAAGCATCTAACATCCGGGTAACTCTCTGACCAGGAAGAACCTGGAAACTACTTCTGACAAGCCGTTGCCATTGGACACGTATATTGTGGGACTACCATCTGGAACTGCGGTGTTACCATCTTGGATTTAGGATATTAGTTATGGATTGAGTACTGTGGTTTTAGTGTTGGATGTTTTACTATGTTTTATATGTTTTTACCTATGGCATGGCAAATGACCTTGCCCTTGTTAGCTGCCCTGAGCCCACTGGGGAGGGCGGGATAGAAATATGAAAAATAAATAAATATAAGGTAGAACCGTTGTTGGCAGCATTCCAGCCATATAAGGTAACTGTTTGGGCGGGAAATGAGCCCAGTTAATGGAAAATTCCACTGCTGTAACGTATGCTGTGACAAGGGCTGGCTCGAGGTGTTTCTGCGCCCTAGGCGAGGCTGCCTTATGGCGCAGATGCCAACCTCCCGGTGGGGCCTGAAGACCACTGGAGCCAGCCACCCTTTTGCTGCTGCCACCACTGCCTCCCCCCCGCCGCCACCACAGGAGGGGGGAG